CTGTGGCTTTATTTCAGATCCGAGAGCTTGTTCCTGAGTCTCAGGCTTATATGGACCTGCTGGCGTTTGAGAGGAAGCTTGATCAGACCATCATGCGCAAAAGACTTGATATTCAGGAAGCGCTCAAGAGACCCATCAAGGTACATGCAGATCCTTTACCAACAGTGTCCTGGCTGTCTTCGGACTCCTTTAGAGGAACAACATTGTTTGTTGAGCTTGAATCTGGAACTACATTTGATCGAAAGACATCACTTTATATCTGTTTGTTCTATGCAGCAAAAAAGAAAACTACGGATATTTATCTCCAACACCTTCAACCCTGCCAAACCAGATGCAGAGGACGGCGAAGGAACCGTTGCATCTTGGGAGCTGCGTGTGGAGGGACGACTTCTTGAAGACGTAAGCGAGATTCTGTCATCTCACAGTGTTTCAAGTCAAACTCTTTATTGTCTATGTAGAAGTACAAGATTATTTCTGTAAACTCTGAATGTGTTTCTCTGTATCAGACTGCTGTGTCCAAGTATGAAGCCACCAAGCAGAAGAGGAAGTTTTCTTCTTTTTTCAAGTCTTTAGTGATTGAGTTGGACAAAGACTTGTATGGACCTGACAATCATTTGGTGGAGGTGAGATGCAGAACAGTGCATTTCTCAGCTGTGGGACTGTCCACTAGATCTCTGTTGTTGTCACTTTTGCGCCAGTTTTCAGTCATTCAGGTGTGTTTGTCTTGATTTCAGTGGCACCGAACCGCCACAACTCAGGAGACGGATGGATTTCAAGTGAAGAGGCCGGGAGATGTTGGTGTCCGTTGTACTGTACTGCTTATGCTGGACTACCAGGTGAACACAAACACATGTTTCAGAAACTACCAGCAGGTGGCGCTCCACACTGTTAGTAAATTTGAGGAATTGTGACTGAGCCAAATTGTTCTTTTTCTAGCCTCCTCAGTTTAAGTTGGACCCCAGACTTGCCCGGTTGCTGGGGATCCACACTCAGACCCGACCCGTGATTATTCAGGCTCTGTGGCAGTACGTGAAGACCCATAAACTCCAGGACCCTCATGAACGAGAGTTCATCAACTGTGATAAATACCTCCAGCAGGTAACAAATATTAGAGTTTGTCTTTTGATGCTTTTAGACTGGAAATACCTGCTTAGACTTGACTGCAGGAAGTAGCATATAAGCTAGTTGTTCACAATATTGCTTTTTTTCTATTCTCCTGCCTTTTTTGTGTTCGGTATGAGTCAGATGGACTTTGCGTAGTCCATATATGTGCTGTCAGAGGCTTGAAAGTTGGTTTAATGCATCTTTTAACCAGGATAGTGGCTGCAATGCTAATGGCTTCAGATCTGATTTATAACCCAAAACACATGGGGCCTCATTCATGAAACATTCGTAAATTCTGAGTAATTTGCGCGTAAAACGGACCTTCCCGAAAAC